ATCTACTTGCCCAGGAAACATATCAATCAGGCAGAATCAATAAAAGTTTCGGCTCTCTCAAAACCATGTCTTTTTAATAGGCGTGCAATTCTTTATGCACGGGTGTATGAAAATGATAACCAATGACAAGAATGATAAGGAGGGTTGAATGCAAGAGTTCCTCCAACTTCGGTGCAATTTTCACTGGCAGGCGATCACAGATGCGAGGGTTGAATGTAGGTCACAGAAAGAGTGTATGACGGCAACCTGTACTGCAAAACGTAGCGCACAGTTTAAGCGTCCCTTCAGTTTAGCTGAACCCAAGGTTCCTAGGCACGCGAATTGTTTCATTCCTACCCTATTCATCTGAAGAAGGAAAAGAAAGTCGAGCGCCCTCATCTATCCTGGACTTGGACCGTTAGATGCATGATTGCATTGGCTATAATTCACTTAACACCCTATTCTCAATTGCGGGAATTCTGAGGGACCGCTAGACATCCGAGCTCGATATGAATGCCTTAATGTTTCGAAACACCATGATAAGTGCAATTTTCTTTTTTGAGGGGATATCAAGCCAATTCTCTTGAAAAAGCGGGTTTTAGGTTTTACTGCGCACAACCTTGGTCCCAGGCGAAACATATCGTGTTACATAGTTAGATGTGTTAGAGCAGTCCTTGTGCATGCACTTTGCACTGCATATCCCGCTCTTGGTGGCCGCCACGCCGTCCGGCGCCGCTTTGATGTAGCGAGATCATTTAAACTCATTCATGAAGGAAGCGCTTACAGATGGCATCTAGCACAATTATCTTTGTGTAAACGATAATGCGGGTGACTAGTGTCCATGTTGTCTTTAGGCATACGCCAGCTACACTTTAGTTTTCAAATGTGCGTTTCGTAGGGCCTTGCAGGGTGAGGAGCACATTTTAAAACGATGCTACATGGTCTTGCAGTGCTGCTTCTGCAAGTCTTCCACTTCTCATGCCTCTTCCTAAACGATGGTGGATATGATCAGGTAGGAGAGATTCTCACAAATCCACTCCGGCCTCGGAGGGAGTACGACTCCCATCCGGAGTTCCATCGACCCTCCCCGATGCATACTGTTGTAGCAACATTAGGTCGTTGAACCCTGCCCCTACCACCGCAACTTAGGCGGAAGTGGTGTAGTGCAAGTTGGGCACCCGCTTAACACGCGAAGTGATACGGGGATCATACCCTGGGTCGTGAGTTACCAGGACCAACCAAGCCTTCCATCCCTCCGGGGTCGGTTAAAGACTTGTCTGGGAGGATAAAAAACACTGACTTGTAGATTGCATAAGCCACATCGCATTCAAACGCCACTACGAATGTACAAATGAAGGAAGTAGAATGCGTGCCGCATTCCAAGACCGGATCGATCAACGGCAAAAGCTTTATTTATTATTTTTTTTCCACCGCACTTGCTTGCTTCATAACTGTTCAGAGAATCGTTGGGTCGATTTGGAGGGTGAATTCGAGTTAGTGTTTAAAGACACACCTAGCTGTATGGATCATTCTCTTGTGGCCATGTCGGCCTATTAAACAAACATTCGAGATTTTAGTTTAAAAAAAAAGAGTAGAGGAGAAGGAGGAGAACAGCTCTAACCAAATATCACTCCATGATGATCATTTCCACCACATTATGAGAAATCTGCCTTACTGACGCAAACAATTTATCCTGAACCCTGCCGAAGATTCTGCACAGCATGCTTCACCTCCTCCACAAGAAAGTAGGGTCAAGGGGATAAGCCGCAAGAGACAAGAGAACTACATGGACACTCAAGGCCCTCAACAAAGATACCTCGCGCAGATTGTCGATCGAGAACATTACGCGACAGTTTCGGGATGATGCAGTCACCCTTAAAGGCAAGCCGTGGAATCAAATGAGCGTCCAGAAATGAAGATGGGATGCGGAATGGTGTGGAAAAAGGAAAAACAAGAGAAACCCACGACTATGCCCCGAATGGAACCTCCTCTATTTCAGCCGCACTCCACTTTGGGATAGAGAAGGGCGTGCTGGACGAATTTCGCGTGCCTAGCTCTATTTGCTCCAATGCCAATGACACTGAACCGCAATACAATCGTTGTCGGAACCAGGGTCAACCCTGTCGCTGTTACCTTTCGAAAAAATTTGACGACTCCCCTCCCCCAAGGTCGATTTGATACGACCCCGACCCCTTTTCCACACCTCAACCGCCATCATCGTCTCTATAGTATTTAATGCTGATACTACTCAACCCCCACCAAACTTCACCTACTTTTCCGGGGGGGGGGGGTGTACGCGCACTGAAACGGCAACTTTTTTCCTACGCCCCTCAACAGTTTCACCTCAAACTCTCCAACCTGTGATTTCAAACGACTGAAACGGATACGACGCCCCCCTCCTACAAACTCAACCAAGTACGACCCCACCGGTTGTTACTAGTAACAACGTAGGGTTAACCCTGGCCGGAACTGTGCCCGCGCTTCTCTTGCAACGTCGCAGTGCAGCCGATCGCAGGCGGGGCATGTGGACGAAGGTGTGGACTGCGGGTCAAGCAAGCTTCTAACGCCTTTCTTGTGCACTTTCAAGCCAAAGGGCGCTCGTGCGCCTGTCTACTACGCTCGGGTATGGAACAGGTGAGCATGCCTAATCCCGGTTTGCGGTTACTTGAACTTTCCTCTAGAGTCCTGCCACGAATGGCGGAAAGCATGGACAATAATTGAAAAGCGCGTAGCCCGGTTCCAAATCCCAAGGAAAAAGGTGGAGCCCTAGGACTAGCCTTGGAGGTGAGGAGCAACTCCAGGGTGGGTGAGCCAATACAGTGTGGCAAGTTTGAATGTGTAAGATCACAGTATCAGCAGCTGATAAGGCGAGAGAGCGCAGACGAGAGCATCGGACTGAGGAGGCTCAAAGGACCGAGTTCAAGAAGTCCGTCGAGCGCCTTCCCGGGAGATGTTTTAAAGTCTCCAAAAGCTCGTTGACGAAGGCATATTCATGATCCATTTTAAGCGTTGGTGCCTTTTGGCGCCGACTGGCACCACTTTGTCACAACATCTGCTTCTGTCAAATTCGGCGTAAACTTTACCTAGGTCTCATTTGGGTGCCTTGATTAGAATATGACACTCGTCCTTGGCATTCGCGCAATGAACCCAAGATTGCCATTCTCTCAACTCTTCCCCGGCCAAATGAACGTTGATGTCGTCCAAAAGGAACTACGACTTATGTAATAAACGTAAAAGGGAAAAAATGCAACGAAATAGCGCATGTAAAATAAGCAAGCGAACAATCCAAACATTACATCGACTCGAAAAGGAACGAGCAGAAACGTTCTCATGCAACTGATATGAAGAAATGGCAACTCCGTAAATTGAAAGTGCTCTACAGTTGAAATAAGCGTTTATATAAACCCATAGTACAACTCCTGGATCATTAGATCTCGCTTGAAAACATCACATTCGAGAGAGATTTTAAAAACAACGTAAACGACATGAATCTATGCGTCGTGAAGAAGAAAGTGTATCAGCATACAAAAGAGATGACCCGAAAGAGGAAAAATTCTAATCCTCAAAACGAATCTCAGATTGATGATCGTAACAATTCAACTACAGTGTAGTTCTATCCATTGAATGGATTTGATAACACTTTCACTGAGCAAACGAAGAGAATAACCTAGCGATGGCAAAGTGGCCCGGCCGCAAACTGCGGTCTGAGGCGTATCCATCTGATGTTTCGCCTCGATCTATTTCTAGGCCTTTGCCAGCCAGGAAGCTTCCATCTGGATGGAAGTAGTCAAGAGTTGAACATAATATGACTTCTACTCGATCAGTATCACAGAAAATTAAGACTAAAGATATCTATATTTTGTCAGTCACAACACGAAAGGACTCACTAGCGAAGCATCAACTAGAACATAAACAACGAAATTCTGATGAGATTTGGGAGAGGGTTGAATTGTGCGACAGAACAGATTTATCCACTTTCTCGAAGGTTTCAGAACACCTAACTCCTACTACTGCATTATTCATTACCCAGAGCTAAATTTTAAAACAAAAGACTTCAAACAAATTATCTCAAATAATTCTAAAGTCATGATCATGACGAGTAATTTCTCAAGCAATTTCTTGTCATGAAAAAACTCAAACTCAATTGTTTAGATGTTTTATGAAAAGTGTGATTTCGCGCTTGATGCATTTGAAGTTCAAATCTAAGCGAACGCCATTTGGACTGCCTGAACAGCAGTTGACCAGCTTTAATCATTAGCACGTTAGAGATCGAGGGCATGCCTTCAAGGATGTTTGCTCCAGAAATGGAATAAATGCTTGCCAATGATAAATTCGAAAGCTTCTTTTATCCGACTATCGACTGACCGCAAGCCGGGTATCTGGACTGGGTGAAGAGTCACACTATGGCGTTCATGAATTTACAATTGAGTGTAAAGGAAACTTCGACTTAATTGCCTCCTCAGGAAACCCGAAAAACACTATAGTCAAAAACAAACCGTGCAAGTTCGATGTCACACTTAGACAAACTCAATGCGTGATACCACCTCAATGATCCTTTCTGAAAATCTCTTTAATTTGAAGTACAGGAAACCTCAAAGCGCAATAAATCATCCCAAATACGCATCTAAATAGTTTCACACGCCCTGCAAAAAGTGACGGAGTTAGAAACGACCTTGAATGTAAAAGCTTCAACTGATGCAGCAATATATTGACAGATTGCTCGAATTGCAAAGTCCTGCTCAGATCCTTCGATAGCTAAAAAGCTAGCAAAATAATGTCAACAAAGATTGATGAGAAATGGAAAAGGATGTTGGGCAAATCGATGCATAGACGGTAAGGAAACTGGCGAACTGACAATTTAGAAAAATAGATGAATGTCTGCGAAGTTGGAAGAGTTCAGATAATACAACGACTACACTAGTTCATGCTAGATGACAACAAAATAGCTAAACGTGGGGAAATTGATTACTTCCTGAGCACGACTATGGAAGTGTGTAGTAGATAGGATATTGACAGAATGCTCACTCAGAGGGATACTCGCCGTTGATGGTGGAACCAAGAGCAGGGGTACTTGACGTCGATGTCCGCACACCGAGAGCTGTTTCTTTGACCAACGAGTTCAACGCGAATAAGTTCAACATGTCTATCATTTGCAATGACTCGTTCTTTTTCGCTGCAACCTTCTGAAAGGAAAAACAATGAAACACTTCTAATCACGAGGAATCCTAAATTCCTTGCCATGAAAATAAGTTATGGCTCACTCACACGAATTGTGGGAATTCTCAGCAAGATGTTGGCATATCGTTCATCTGCAAGAGTCCCTTTATAAGTTCGCTGGATATGCCTATGTAGAGCAGTGAGCAATCTTTTCTGCTCAGCAGCCACGTTCCGTTGACTTGCAGAATCGATTCCGTCCGTATCTGAAATATCTTCAGTATTTTCTAAAGATTAGCGAAGTGCATTCAGTTATTGCAGATGTAACCGCAGTGGGTCTATGCATGGGGGATTAAATGAGAATTTTCTTGTTGTTTACTGTGCATCACGTCGGTGTGCAGGTGAGAGATTCAATCTTTGATGAACATTAATCATTTCACAAATCCAAATGTTTGGCTCTTCAATGAGCTCTGCCTCTATCACTACTGGATTAGGAATAAACGAATCATTCACTAAGAACTTGATTCAGATAATTTAGCTACATTGATACATGTCCCTGTCTCGCCCCAAATAAACTTGTAGGCGAAAACGCTCGTGTTTGCGTGGTCTGCGTGAAGAAATTAGCGAAGTTTGCGTTCTAACACGCCTTATCGGCCACCATCTTACAAATCCACCAACAACATCCCCGCCCCACCCTACGTGACCCACATAAGGACGCTCCAATGTCCGCTTACAGACTATTTTAACTCAGTTCCTTTGAAAAGCCTAAACAACGCTGTCTGAACGCTCTCTCGCCTAAACAGCAGCTCATGACTACTGTGCTGAAACTTTTGCCACACTGATTACCACACATACCGGAATCTATCCCCATCTCCTCCAGGGCTTAGTCCTAGAGCTCTCACCTTCCTCCTTGGCATTGGAAACCAAGCCAAGGAGGAAGGTACGAGGCGCCTTTCTCTAATCGGCTCTCCGCCATTCGTGGCACGATCATAGAAGAAAATTAATGCAACATTAATTACAAATGGAAACTGGCTACACTTTCTTTCTGAACCCCACTATAAATTACTATCAATCACTATAAGTCCCTATCATACATGTTTACCATTACCATCTATGCCGCGCTCCAACCCTTATAACATATGTAAGAGCCAGCGCCCCATCGTTGCTGTGCCTCGCGCTACGAATTTCCGGAACACATACTCACTAACAGACACACTTAGTCAATTATATGGGATAGATAACCACTTGGATTACTCGCAGTCACTTCACAACGCTGTGGGGTCACACCAGGTGGGGAGGGGAGGTGAGCAGCTACGAAATCTGCGAAGCATTAGCACCAGCTAGGGACGTCAAGGAAAAGAAACTCAAGGACGCGATAAAGAATCAATATTATGAGTAATCCTAAATCGAAAAAAAAAACACTAACCAGGATCAAAGAACATTACTGCCTGAAGTGCAGCGAACTCCGTGGTAGAAATATTGAGCTGCCGAAACGGCTTCATTACATAATCGATCATGGCAGCCATTACTGGTGTTAATCCGGACAAGCTGAACGAGAGCGCCTTCGGAGAGCAACCCACGAATGCACTGCGTCGTCGACCTTCGGTAGGCAGCCTGCATTTGCACTAAGTATTTGGACAAAGTAGGTGAGAAGTTCAACTGCGTGAAAAAGGCAATAATTCAACTAGAACACTATACAATCCGGAAAAAAACCCACCAACCAGCACCAGGTTCTTCTGCAGCTGTGGATGCACGATTTGCTTTCGATGATTCTGTGTTATCTTCGAAAAGTTTGTTATCAAAAAACGTATGCATTTCTGAACGGCCTTCTGTTCCAGCAACTGGTCGACCATAATCCTGGAAATTTCTCTTCTGAGAACAAATTAATATCAAGGGTTTCTGTAAGAATGTAAAAACTCTTCTTCGTTATGCACAGTAATGATATTCTACATTCATGCTTACCTCTGAACCCCAACATTCTTTTGCTTTTGACAATAAGCCATATCCACAGCTGTGAATTATGTTGACTCCTCTTCTATGATCTATCTTTCTTCCCATTTCATTTCTACTTTCCACCACATTAAAAAAGCAAACAGTCACTTAAGCAACAAAATGCTCTAAGCATTCTTGAAAAACACCTCACATCTTTCCCGTAACAACGAATTCTATTCCCATCGCCTTTAGGGAAAATGTTGCGCGCACGCCCATCGCCGCGTAGAAAACCCCAATCATGACCAATGCGCCTGCCATGGTCCGGCTCGCCTTCATCGCCATGCTTTGCTCTTCATTTCGAGAAAGAATCTCTTCTTAAACGTCCGTATCTTCAAGTTTTTTAGGTCATGCGTTACAAATGAATGATATTCGTTGGCATGATACCGAATATCGGGATACGCATGTGCAAACGAGCTCGCCCTCGTCACAGGCTCGTCCAGAGCGGAAACAAACGGGCAAAGAAGGGGTCTCATTTCTTTGGTCTTAATTCCTTTTCCTTCGGATCTTTCTTCACCAGTAAACAACGTCTACCTTCAGCTCCGATAGGCAACCGCCGACTGCTGTAAATCTTTTCGTGCACGTCACCGAAGCTTCGCATCACAAAAAGAAGAGAGGTGAGAAAAGGTCCATGAACGATGAGCATGGCAAAAGCTTACGATTAGCTTAATTGTTGGCAACTGGTATGTAGTGGTAAAGTAGAAGTCAGGGATGAATTTCAAAATAATTGAGAGCTGAGCACCAACCCACGATCAAGATGGCGGGGTAACCGCGCACCATAATGAAGGTAAGGGTGCGGAAATGACAGCAAAAGAAAAAAATGTAAAAGAAACTGAAGCTATAAACAAGGACCGCTTTCCGTCCCCCTTGATACTAGAAAAAGAGATGTTCAGACAAGTTTATGAAACGGTTCCATGCAAACCAGGAGACATGCTATTACATGAAGGAAATTCAAAATACAATACTGACCTTTGGAATTACTGTTCCATAGTCTGCCGGAAGACTGCCGTACTCAGTAGGGAGTCGAATTGTTGACAAATCTGGACTGTTAGAACTAGGTTCCGTTTTGATCCTAAACAGCCACGTTTTCCCCGCACTAGAAAAAAGTACACAAATGTGTATGTGTCACATATCCAATAACTCACAACAGTCCCTGTAGCTGATCATTTTGGGTTATCGTTGAACGAGAAATAACAGCATTTCCCAATTTTCTGTCTTCAACGTGTTCTGGTGTACGAAAAGCCTCACACATAATCATGTAGGAGCTAGCATGATTAGTTATGAGAGCCACCTGAAATGACATACTAGACATATACATAGTTCCAGAATGTTTTCAGTAGCTGAGCTTCCAGTAATTTTTGTCTTCCGTGCCCAGGTGCACTGCAATTGCAGAAATAAACGTGGCATCGAATCAAGAGCATCTTAAAGGCGGAGAAATGGTTTAAATGAGTCAACCCTGCGTTGCGCAGTTCTCAACGGCCACGTTAAGCAGTTTCGCCCGATTAGACACGTCTCTCGCGCGAACATTCACACTCGTATGCTCGAGCCGTCTGCGTCTCCGCCCATACAGCGTGCGTTAAGGATGTCCCAACGTGCCGTTGCGAACTGCGCAACGCAGGGTTGACTCTGGTTCAAAGCCCGAAAAATGAGACCCGTTCCTTGCTCGTTGATTTTGCATTGATGCAGCACTTATCAGCTGCCCTCTGAAACGATAACGCTGTCATTGCTAAACGGCTAGAGACTTGCGGCAAGTGGTTGGCCGGTCGGTGGGCACACCACGCCTATCCCGCCGCGGGGAGGACCATGCTTGGTCGTCGGTGCAAGTCCTACGCCCCAAACTACGTGTCGGTCGGCACCTTCAGCAGGTACGCTTGTCTTTCCTCTAGGTAAGCTTCATCTCTTCGACCTTTTACCCTACCGTGGCCCTTTGAAGCCCCGTGGATTGTCTTTCCATCGAGAACTTCACTTCAAAATCAAAAATTGCGAAAATAACCTTGTCAGCATGAGGAAGATTCCGGAAGCATGCAAATGACTTCGCCCAGTCTATGTACAATGCAATAATACGAGATCTCCAGAACGGCATTTTGTTCTCGTCCATTCCCGGCTTCGGAGACGCGATGGGGTCGGTAATCTGAAGCTAAGCTTTAGCCACAGGCATGCATCAGGTGGTATTAACCTTGATCCGTTTTACCTTGACACTAATTGGCTGATGGAAACGACTAGGAGCAGCCAAGGCATCGTCTAAGGAGGCATAAGGTTCAATATCCGCCCGACTGAGCAGAAGAGTTAAGTTATTCTCCAGTGTTGTCAATCGCTCTAGCATGGGATCTACAGCATTCTGAAAAGGGGCGTTCAAGATCAACGGAAATTAAAAACAAACGGAGCCACGATTAGATATACATAATTAATCTAGCACTGAAGAACATTTTATAAACAATCACATTGTCGTGTTTGTGTTCTCTCGAATCCAAGCAACTTGACCCCAAACGAATGTCCTCATGACTGTAGCTATCTGGCGAGTTTGAAGTGTGTCTTCTAAATCACAAACTGAGAGGAGAACACTGATAAATTCTGAGCTTTTATACAGATTGAAAATGAGCAAAAGGAGATAGCGGTGGGAAGAAAATACTGAATTTTCTCTTCAAATAGTCAATGTTGCATCACCCTCAAATCCTAGCTCATTAATGACATCATGGCTAGCTTGATTGAAAGATTTCCCAAACTGTACAAAGACTTCCCGTTCTCTGCAAGGCCGATGTCAGACTTTGCGAATCGCGCGATTCGCTAGCGTCTGCGGTCGCGTCGCGGCCAGTGAATCACTCAATTGGATGGTACCGCAATCGCTAGTAGCGAATCGCGCGATTCGCAAAGCCTGACATCGGCCTAAACGCATAAATTGCCAACAAAATTCTACTCAGTATAAAGCGCTCGTCTGCCTGTCTTTCGGTATGTGTGTCACGGAATCCCCTAGAGATACGTCTGGAGAGGACGTGTCGAGTGTGTGATGGTGGGCCAGGTCTCAAAAACTCAAAACATACAACAGCTAAGCGGAGCCCCATACACACTGGGCGTAGCGTGCGCTGAAGTGCCACCGTTTTCTGCAAGTCCTCATGATTCGGTTACGAGAAGTCTTGGAGAGCAGGAAATAGGTGGAGAGGTACGAGAAGAGGGGAGACTAAATGTTAATGGTAGGTGCGGCGCGGCAAGCGCAAAAGTGGGAGGAGTGCGCCTTCAGAGCTATAAGCTATTCCAAAAATCCCCGGAGACTGAGAAAAAAGTGGATAGAAGTTAGCGGTGGAAAGAAGGTTGCCGTGGGTGGGGAGACATGCACCGAAGTGAGCCAACTTTGCCACAGAACTTCATAATTCGGTTAAGTCCCGCTGACCGGGAAAAAGAATATAGAGTTCGCCCCCGCCGGAAGGGAGGCAACATCTGTAGGTGAGTGGGGAAATTTGTAAACTGATTTCGAAGCAGTCCGGAGAACGGCAAAAAGCGGTAGTTGACGAAGCAGGGAAGGTCAAAAGCCACCAGTGGGGGGGGGGGCATCGCACAAGCGGATAGAATCTAGAGGATCGTCGGCAAGACTTTTTATGTAACTGTCAAAAGAAGTTCAAAACCTCAAAATTCTAGCTCTACAGCCGGCTCAACACTTATTTCCCTTTAGGTGAATGCCGTTTGCTCCACGGCTTTTATAATATTAAAACGTAGACGAAGAAGCAGCTGTTGTGTGACTCTGGTTATCTGAGGAACTCGTCAGTAATGCTGGGAAAATTCCCAGTGGGCTACTTCTGGAAATGCACATCTGAGGGTGAGCTTACGATTTTGGGACGCATTGCAGTCATGGTCCACTGTGTTGGAAAAGCCGAAGAATGACTTGAGGAAATCATTCAGTTGTGAGTTCAAGTCTAAAGGGGCTACCTAATGTTTGCTCGACATAGAACAGGACAACATATTTAATCTGCGTATTCTGGGGCCGCACCCAATCCTTAGGCATTTCGTCGTGCGCGACCTTGCCGCTGATTAATTTTAAGGTTGAGTGACACAGGGTTGCGTACCCACACCCCCCCCCCTCCCTCATTACATGGTCGATCTTGAAGCTACCCTTTTCTGTATTGCACTCCTTTCCTCCTCTGAGTGGTCACGCTAATCTAACTGTCTGGGAGGAAGAAACGCAGAGATTTGAATTTGCTATGATGCAACCTTCTCTCCCAACCTCAAGATTGAATCAGCGGCAGGAGACGCGTCCCCCTTGGGGAAGGATTAGATACTGCCCTGGTTCACTCTGCAGCCATTTCGCACGCTTTCATTTGAGTATCGTATTTTTTTTTATCTCAGAGGTGTGGTTGTCCAAAGTTCGATCCTATGGTCACGCGTATAGACATCACTCAGCAAAATTATGTCAAGAATTGTTGTTTCATTCAAAACTCATAAAGCCTTATCGTGCAGCGTAATTGCTTTGGAAATAAGTAGTAGAGTGACAATTCATTGCATGTACTGATAACTCACTGTAATAAAGAAAAAAACGTGAGGAAATTCAATTCATTCAATCAGTTAATCGCGCTGCCTCACTTCAAAGACCACTCACCTACGAAGGTTACTGGCGCATAGACGTGAAAGATAATTTGTCGTAAAAATACACACAGAGAACCGCTAGTGAGAGAAAGGATTTGAATGTTAATGATAACGAATTCGCTACTCGAAGAGATAATAAAATAATAAAGAAATGATTAATTGGTACTTACTCTTGATTGTCGCCTATTCCGTCAGAAGGTTGCTTATCACTTTTGCGAGTTCTCTTAGTATATCCGATGCGGTCACGATCGTTTTGAATCGCTGAACAAAGGGAAATTTTAGCATCAAGCCTTGGTCAGTAGGGTGAGTGTTACTTACACTTCTTATCCATTCCTACAAGAAGACATTTTTTGAGACGGCAATGACGACAGGCGCATCGAACTCCTGAAATGATACTTGATGGCTGGAGGAGAGAATATGGGTCGGCAAATTTCAAGGAAGAGGAGTCGAAAAAAACCTTCCTTATTCCCATGCCAACCTGGTAATTAGCACATGGTACAAGTGCGCTGACAGAGCAGATTGGTCGCTCAGATTTGTCAAGAAATATCTAAGGTTTCCGACTACTGCGCAACCTCCCATCTCCATTAATAACAGTACAGAAATAGTACTATTGTGCAACACTAGCACTATTTCGGTCCTGTTATTAATGCAGATGGGAGGTCCTGAAAAACCTCAACGGCGATCTACAGTGGTGATCGAAGACGCTCTTAAGTAACTATCGAATTGTAACCTTGCCAAATTACAAGAGAATTACAATTACAAGAGAAGCCGTAACAACCTTAGGATGTCGCTTTTCTACGATCACCGGGCACTTGTGATCACCAGGCCGTTCTCGCGCGATTCACAAACGGTGACTATTTCAAAGTACCCCTTCCGCATCCTGTTGTGCAAACTTTTCTTGACAACTTACCTTTGTTTACTGGACAATCACCATTCCCCATACAGGTGAACATTCGATTATTCTAAATTAAAAAGAACCATAAAGTGATAAAGGGCAGAAGGAAAGCCTCATATTCCTACAAAAGTAAAAGCCTTACCACAACTGCGCGACGAAAAAAAGTTTTGCATCCATTACATGACGGAACAGAGTAATGATTGCCGGTAGCGATATCCTCGCAGACCACACACAGAGTCCCTAGAATGTGGCAGATTCAGCACTTTGCACTACTGCAACCCGAGATGCTCACACTCATTATGAAATTCTTCTGAAGCCAATGTCTGTTTGTTTTGTTGCGAAATTCGGTACTACCTGAAGATCACACTGAACAGACCAGATGAAGTTGAGCTGGGTGGGACATGGACAAAACACAAAACAACACCAGTTAAGTGGAGCCCCGCCCACAGGCGCCGGCACTGAAGGGAGCACTATGGAGCATCATAATTTACCAGCACCATAATTTTGGGAAATCAGCTAAGTGGCCTTTTACACAAAAATCATGAGGGGAAACTCCTGTGATCTGTTGAATTGACGTTCATAGGCAATTTCGCATTTATAATTGCAAGGTGTCGAATCCAAGACTTTTTCTAAAATTTGCGAGATTTTGGAAAATTTTCAGGTTGAATTATAGTTTTGAAAAGCAATGTAGCTTTCTCTCATGCGCGAGGTTATACCTTTTCTGACACAAAGAAATTCATGAAAAGGTCGTAATACTTTTACACTATTAGGTAGGCCCATAATTTCTGAAGCCCATATGCTATTTTTGGTTATTTTTTCATTATCTCTCATCATTAACTACGTTGTTCGTGTCGTTGTCTACACATGAAAAGATGGTCACTTCATCTCTTCCGAACACGTCCCCTATACCTTTGTTCAGATTGATGTAACGTTGCTAAGCAAGCGCATTATCTCAAGTAGGTGGTAGCAAAAACGAGTCAATGAATTAACCGGAACTATTTTATTATCGTGGTGGAATCATGGATTTTCAGAAAGATGAGAAAAAATTTGTGAATGCGTACGAAAATAAACAATTTCTCAAAACGGTGCGTGTAGCGAATTACTCTGGCAATAGTTTCGAAACCGAACGGTAATACTAGGAATATATAGAGAGTGGGCTATGAGGGAGATTTAGACAGAAAAAAAATAGAACATGATGAACTCTAACATGAGTTCCTCAAGAAAGCCCGCCCAACTATTGGTCAAGTGAGCGTTAACATTAAAGCAATAAAGCCAGCAGAAGTCGTGTCGACGTATTATTTAGTGGATGGGATAGAAGAGCCAAGAGTATCACATATGTGCCACTGTAGCGTCTCGTAAGTGCGCGACAATGGCGCTGGGGCTTTATAAAGTGAACATATGGCGACAATCCTACCCTATGGACGAGATACCTTGCACACAAATCATGATACGCAGCATAAATTAAGAAGTATCAGCTTATTCAACTACCACTCAACTTCAACTAGTGTACCATGGAGCAAGCAAATTCGTATAACTCCACCGGCCCCGCCCCTTTCTTAGTTCAAGAAGGATGGGAGGAACTATTTGTCAATAGCTTTGTGGACGGTTTTATTGCCCTTTTTTCATTTTTGGTCAACTCGGCATCGAAAACTCCATTATCGACCGCTGTGAGCCCACAAATTTGACCTGGGGGCATTGCTTTGATGTATCATATGCGTTCAAGTGGCTAAAGTTGTTGTACATAGCGTAACACAATTGTTTCCATCATGTTTTGCTATTTGAAAGTTGAAACAATGTCGTCGAAAGAAAGAGAAATAAACGAAAATCGCTCCACTTTCTGCGAAAGTGATAGCAAACCTATTTCTGAGAACGCAGATGCAATTTTTACCAAGTGAAAAAGCAAAGAAATATGAAACAAAATATACCATAACATACCTACCTGGTGGAAGTTTTTCCGTCATTGTATAAAGTAGATGAAACAGCAATCACATCAATATCGAAGAAAACAAGCACTCAGACGTAATGCATATGTGGACTCTTCGATGGAAACAGAAGCACGCTACTGAAACAAAAGATTCAAATAAGATAAATTTGGCCTATGGGGATTGTTGTTACATAGCAGTAAATAGAAATAAGAAGATAAAAAGGATAACAACTGAGTACAAAACAAAAATCTGATTAGGGAATGGGACATGAAACTGCCGCATGACGTATGTGCAGTTGAGAACGTGATGAAAGGAGGAACGAACGCAAAGGAGAGGAAAACTAGCTCACATATTGTGAGCGGCACGAGCGAAACGAGAGCATTTGGAAGACAGAGTTGTGGCGAGAGCGAACGCCACAGAAGATCAAGAAACATCGCTGGCCTGCACTCTTACAAAAAAAAACAAGCAATAGGGCATTTTCAACGCGCCGCAACTGGAAATTCGCAATCAATGACTTCAAATCTGAGGGTTCCCCTAGAGAATGCGCTGCCTTCGGAAAGGTACCATTCCGAATCAGAACTTGGAAAAAAAAGCATGAAAATACAAAAAAGAAATAGCTGTACCCGTAGGAGGAGGAAACTCCCAAAAATAAATCTATTTTAACGCAGAGAAGCAATATTAAGAACGACAAAATTATTCCTCAGTGAATACCGAACATGCCTTCCAAACGTCAACTGATTTGTCGTTGCATCACTCGAACATTTCTTAGCTTAAAATTTATTGATGGTAGACCGATTCCGCTATTCATCGTAGGGCCTCGCTGTTCTTTGATTAGCTCGCTGAGGCCTTCACAGAACATTGTTGCACAAAAGTGCAAACGAGGGGTGACTTCGCAACTACGAAGCATCGATCCAGCATAGCCACTTCCAACCACCGCATTTCCACCATCGAAAAGGTAACTTACTCCCATCTACCATATATTGTAATATTGACGATTCACCAGTAAGTCCCGTGTCTGCTTATCTAAATTTAACCCTTTGACTACTAATCGTACACAATCGGTTTGACTGAGGAATTACATTATCACAACATTTTCTTGTGAGTACCATCAGATACAATAAGAGACGCGGATACATAAGCGTTGAAGAGAAGCAAATGATGATGAAAAAAAATTAATATTGAGGCGGTAACATGGATAGAAAATGAATCTTGTGCACGAACGTCGTATGTCGTCAACGAGGACTCGGCATTACTGTAATCGAGTGGCTTTTCGGTGCTTAGGGGGTGCTTTGAAGTAAGTGGGACTAGTGGAACCCGAGAGTATTAGGGAGGAGAAAGGATTCTGCGAGATGTGAGCAACCATCGTTCTCCCTAGTGTGTAGTCCCGATCCTGTTACTACCAGTGTCACCTACCAGATCCTTGGCCCTGTTTTAAATGTCCCCTCCGTGAAAATGAGCGCATAGCCCTTCTTCTTCGTGTGGACGAAACAACAAACCATTCCCAATATCGAGATCGAGATCCAACTTCGTTCGTTCTTACGTTCTTGTCCCATAACACTGTAGCACGAATAAATTGTACTCGCTGAGCAACCGCTTTACTAATACAGGAACAGGGTTAAAAGACCCAAATTCAGGCACTGTCCTCATATCTTGCACAGAATTGATGTACTAGGAAGAGTTATGCATGAAGGGACACTTTGTAATCTTCTAATCTTGGCCACACGTTAAGGTGAGTCATAGCTGCCATCGGCGGTTTATTAAAGCAAATTTTAGCGTTATACGTATCAGAGAGCATGATCCTCAAAAAAGTGACTTCTCAGAATTCGTCATTTTTGTAAAAGCTGCCTTAGATCCGTTCGCGACCAACTCATAGGTGGGGTCTGCACAAGCAAGCAGAGCGTGATGGAGCACTTTGTCAGATGAAAACGATGACAGGACGATAAGGACTTCTACTACAATGAATGACAATTAGATGTTGAGAAATATGGGTTCCCTGCAGAGCAAGAGAGGACAGTGGTACCTGAAACACCTGCAGGAAGTGGAGCGAAGAAGCGTCAAAAACCCGAGATTCAAATCTATGCAGAGGTTCAATCCTAAAATGATGTCATAATTGCGATAAACCCCGAAAGGACACCCATTTTGTGCATCGTTTCCTTCATCAACCTGTGTGACCTCACAATTGCGAAGTCAGACAGCATAAGTAGAGAAGAGGTCCCAGCGGCAACCTAGGGGAAAACTGATAATAAAATATCTGTCAACTGATCCATCGGAACTGGGCAGAAAATCGAAGCAAAAGTAGTGCAATAGTGTCAGTACATATTGTCACCTAGGGCCTCACAATGGAAATACATAAAAACCGGAGCGAAGAAAAAAGAGAAACATCAGAGCTTAAAAGAAGCAAATGAAGAAATACACAAGAAAAAAAGCAGAGACTTTTAAAGATGATGTCATGAACGATCAGATGAATAGGGCAGTGTTTCACAGGAGGAAAACAAGAACTGTTTCCACTGCAAGTTCTTGTTTTTGTCACGTGATCGGATTCTCACATGATATACCCATAGAGTCGAGTAACTGCTGTTTTCTTTAGAAGTTACAAAGATTCCTCATGACAATGTAGTTTAGGTGAAACGAATCACTGTACCAGCAACTCCAGCAGGTGCAAATTTGCGCTACCGCAGAGTCCATAATTGAATGCGAAAGCGTTGCCTTGGCAATGGTGAATCAGAGCACTTAATCCGATACATCTGTCTAGACATGATTACATATAAGTGCTTTTTAAGGGCTCTCCTTGATCAGGTAACGCATGAGTTCAACATGGAATGGAAATCACAACGAACCCCTCTGATTCATTCTACTTAATAATTTTAAAAAAAGAGGCAAACTGGAAACGAATGGGAAATGATGCTAGATTGGAAACGTCATGAAGTGATAAAAGTGGCAATCACAAGAGTGGACGGAGCGCATGTGGGAATGGAGCGCGATGCGCGATTAGTACATGCAAGTTGGCATGCGACGCGCGCAATCGATCCAGCGCTCCAGGTACGTTGTGAAGAAGTGCAGCGTGCTCCACACAGTCCTCTGATGGGCATGTCTGCTGCTGTGCCAAATCGGGTGACTTTGTTGCACCCCGAATTCTTGTTAATGGTTCATGGACGAAGGGGAAGTCACTTAATGCCACTAGGAAGTAGGGGACAGTTTTTGCGAAGCGTTCAAAGAAGTTCTTTTTACGCCACCCTCAGTTTCTAAGACACAATGAAATAGTCTCACATGGATCACCGGACGGAATAACTCTTGTAATGCCGTTTGTCAACGATAAAAT